AAAAAAAAAAAAAGAAACTACATAGACTCTGTCTCAAAACACCAAATAAATAAAAAGTTGGGGGATGTAGCTCAATGCAAAGGCCTAGGTTCAAGCCACAGTATCAAAAATAATTAGAATTGGGGCTGGGGAGAGAGCTCAGTAGAATAAGCGCTTGACTGGCAAGCACAAAGGCCTGAGTTCAATTCCCAGATCCAGGAAAAAAAAAAAAAAAGAATCTAAAAAAAGAATCTATGCTTTCTAAACACTGTTACAAGTTGCAGATTTATTTTTATCTACTACAGTATAAGTATGTCTTTCTTCTGATTTTGCAAGTAATGCAACCTTCCTAAAGTCCCATTAAAAGTAGCTAACACACTATAGAAGAAAGACTAAGAGACAGGGCCTGGGAGAGAGGAGGGCAAGTGGGTGTACATGATGTGTTATGCCCAGGTACCAACTCCCCATGATGAAGAAAAGTTATGTACTACAAGCATGTACTAATAAAAATTTAGGTTTTTTTTTTTTCTTGAGACAGGGTCTTATTATGTAGACTGAGGCTGGCCTCAGACTCATAGAGACCCTCCTGCCTCAACCTCCTGCATGCTGGGATCACATATGTATACCACACAAGGCTGAAAGGCTTTAGTTACATAAAATGAGGATGTCTTCTTTGAAAATATGATGAGGAAACAACTATTCAACTAAAATTCCACATGCATGTATTTCTGACCTCTGGGTACGTATAGCATATTTGTGATTCATGACAGGAAGTGATTGGTCCCATACTTGTAGCAAGTAGAGGTCTCTTCTTACGCATTGTTTGTCACCAGAACAGAAGCACACAAGGTGTGATATCATCATGCAGTGTGATATAGTATTTTCAATTTCTGATTGCTCAGACATTTCTCTAGTTCTGGTCTTTCCTTCTCCTGTTTCCTGTCTAATGCTAAACACAGATCACCTAACACCTAGAGAATCTGGTCACCACTAGCGGGGCATTTCCTCAGCTGTCTATTGCTGTATAAGGAAACAACTCAGCAAGTAGTTCAAGACAACCGTGGTTTATTATTTTTCAATTCCCTGACGTCTCTGGGAAGTTCGGGGCTCATTCATACTGCCACATCCATCTGGCTGGTCCACAAGCCTGGAAGGGCGAGATGGCGTTTTCTGTGCCTCCAGGGCCATGGCAGGACTGACCAGAAGGCTGGGCCATCTCTCTCCATGTGTTCTTCCTGAAGCAGCCTACCTGAGCTTTCCAGATAGCAAGTTCCACGAAAGCAGACACGCGAGCCACGCAGGCCCCTGACCTCAATGTTGCTCTGTGTCAGCCACTTTCCCAGCACTGGGATGAAACACCCAACACAGCCCTCCCAACTTAGGGGAGGAGAGGTCTGTTCGGCTCACAGTCACCAATGGGCTTGGACCCAGGTTCGCTGGCTCCGAGTCAGAAACGGCAGAGTAGAGGGCCTGATGGAGGCAAGCTGTGCAGCTCAGGGAGGCTGGGAGGCAGAGCCCGGGATACAAACGCACTTTCCTGGCCCCCTCCCCAGTGCCACCTCCAAGCAGGCTCCACCTCCTAAATGCACATTCAGCTAGAGCTCATCAACACACACGGCTTGCTGACAAATATCACACCCCCATGATCCAATCGCCTTCCACGTGTGTAAGATTTGGGGGAAGCTTTCATTTCACTTTTCCTCCAGTCCCCTATCCTTCCTTCAATCCCACTTCCCCCCAGGGGAGATTTTAGATCTAAACCATAACACTCCAGCCCTGGTCCTCAAAAGTATCACATCTAGCTCATCACGCAGTATGTATTTATCTCCAAGAGTTTCCAAAGTCCTATTAATTGCAGGATTGTTTAAAAATCAAAGTCTCTCACAAGAGACCACTGTGCAGCCTGGCCTTCTGCTGTTGGAGTGTATGGAGGGTGATTTGTGTGCAGGGATGTAAAAGCTTTTTTAAAAAGTACCAGGTTCCTGAAATTCAATAAAATATTTTTATTAAAGTCTAATATTTTTATAAAAATCAAAGTCTCCTCTGAGACTCAAGGCAAACTCTTAGCTGTGAGCCTCTGTAAAAAAAAAAAAAAAATCAAAGAAAATTAAAACATTTCCCACATACAACTGCACATTCCCATTCCAAAGGGAAAGAACAGAGGGACAGGAATCAGACCAAAACCAGCAGGGCCAACATTTAACCATGTCACTCCAAGTCCATGTCCTGATGCTCACACAATCCCTACTCTGACCATGCTCTTCTTGGACCCAACTTCGCAGGAATTTCCTTTCTGATGAAGCTGCATACTTTTCACATCGGACTTTTTCTCTCCTGGTTTGCACTGTAGAGCTGGCTAAAAGCAGTCAGCATTCCCCATGCAACAGCCTGAACAGCAGGCTGATTTGAAATTTCTTCCACAGCATCAAGTAGTCTACCACCTTCAAATTCAGTCTCACATAGCTGTAGGGCATGGACAGAGCACAAGCAAGTTCTCTGCCAGAATTGGTTTTTTCCAAATTTCTTTCTTTCCTTATTCCCAACTGAAACCTCTTAGACTGGACTTTATGGTCTGAATTCTTATCAGCATTCTGGTCTGAGTTCTGACCAGTACTGAACATGAATTGCTACTTACAACATTGTAAAACTTCCCCAGCCTGCAATTCCAAATGTTTCCAAATTCTCCTTGCAAAGTAGTTTGAATGTCTATGGAACCACAGTCAGATATAGTCACTGCAATGATCCCACTTGTCTCATATCAATTTTCTGTCAGATTTTTCTGCTGCTAGAACAAAATAACTAACACAACTCAGAGGAAGAAAGGTTTGTTTTGCTTTGGCTTGTTTTAAGACAAGTCTTGCTATGTAGCTCAGGCTGGCCTGGAGCCCCCACGTGTCCTAGGCTGGCCTGGAACTTACAGTGATGCTCCCGCCCCAGGCTCCCGAGGGCTGACACTGCAGGTGTGTACCATTACATCCTGTGAGAGGTTTGTCAGAGGATTCAGCCCATGGCCCACTGGCTTCCAGGCAGCCAGAAAGCAGATGAAGAGAAGGGAGGAGCCATGGACAAGAATGCACCCTTCCAGGTCTCACCCCGAGAGACCTGCCTTCAACCAGGCCCCACCTGGGGACATTACAGTCAGCTGTGAACTTGCCATGGATGGCTCTACTGATGAGCACGGCGCCCCTTAACCCAATCACCCTCCACGCACATAAGACTCTTGAGGGACATCTTATTTTTATTTTTTGTCTTTTTTGAGACAGGGTCTTGCTATGCAGTTCAGGCTGACCTTAAACTCACTTTGTAACCCAGGCTGGCCTTGAAATCACAATGTTCCTCCTGCCTCTACCTACCGAGTACTGGGATTACAGATGTACTGGGATTACAGATGTACGCTACCATGCCCAGCTGTTCTGTGGACATTTCAGATCTAAACTGTAACACACTTCTGCAACATTCTATTGGTAGAAACAAATGTTCAGGGCACATTTGTTGCAAAAAACAAACAAAAGTATAAATTCATGAGGCATGATTCATGACAGTCACTGTATAATAATCTCTCAGAAGTGAGTATGTAAGAGACAGACAGATTTCTGTTGGACCTCAAGTGAAGCTTGTTTGCTTTGTGCCCATGCCAGCTTGTATAGCCAACCTTTCTAAAAGAATCATGCAGAACCAAACACTAGAGCAGGAAAGTACATTACATTTATCATGGAATTTATGGTTTAAAAGAATGTTTTCAGTCAGGTGTGGTGGCACACACCTGTCATCCCAGCACACAAGCAGGCTGAGACAGGAGCATCATCAAAAGTTCAGAGCCCATCCTGGGCTACATAGTGAGCTCAAAGCCACCCTGAACTACATAGGAAGGCATCATCTCAAAAAATAAAAAGAGGGCCAGGGATATAGCTCAGCAGCATAAATGCCTGCCTGGCAAGTGCAAGGTCCTGAGTTTGATCCCTCGTACCAAAAAAAAAAAAAGAAAAAGAAAAAGAAAGAAAGAGAATGTTTTCAAAAAGTTTTGTTCTGGGGCTGGAGAGATGGCTCAGTGGTCTAAAGCACCTACTTGAAACAAGCTTGGCAATGCACAGGGACC